CCCCTTCTACAGACTCAGTGATAATGTGGTTGCGATGTATTTGGGGTTGCGATGTATTTTCATCGGTTACCCACATAAATCCTTTGGTTACCTCTTCTACAGACTCAGTGATAATGTGGTCTTTGTAGCAATGAGGGGAGTCTTTTACGAGAGAGAGTTCATAAGCCAATGAAATAGTAGGAGGCAAATTGATCTTGAAGAAATTCAAGAGTCAAGTGGCGAAGGAACCTCAAACCCTAGCAATCAACCTGAGGAGGAAACTCCTGTTGATCCAACTAACAAGTCTGTACCTCTGAGGCGTTCCACGAGAGTTAGGAATGCACCTGAGCATTACTATGGTTTCCATATTACTACGGAAGGTGATACACTTATCAGTTATAACACACTGATTGGTCTGGATGAACCTAATAGCTACACGGAAGCCATGGCAGGCCCTGAAGTTGCTAAATGGAAAGAGGCTATGAACAGCGAGATACAGTCCATGTATGACAATCAAGTTTGGAACTTGGTTTATGATGTGCCCGGTCGTAAGACAGTTGGGTGCAAATGGATCTTCAAGAAGAAGACCGACATGGATGGTAATGTACACACTTATAAGGTGTGACTGGTTGCAAAGGGCTTTTCTCAAACTCCAGGAGTTGACTATGATGAGACCTTTTCACTTGCAGCAAAGATTAAGTCTATTAGGGTTATGTTAGCCATTGTTGCATTTCATGGCTATCAAATATGGCAAATGGATGTCAAAATTGCTTTCCTTAATGGAAAGTTGGTTGAGGATGTTTACATGAGTAAACCAGAGGGTTTTGTCAGCATAGAATACCCTAATAGAGTGTGTAAGCTTGAGAAATCCATCTATGGATTAAAACAAGCACCTCGCAGATGGAATCTTTGTTTCGATGAGAAAGTCAAAGAGTTTGGCTTTTTGAGTAGCGAAGATGATTATTGTGTATATGTCAAGGCTAGTGGGAGTATAGTTAGCTTTTTGGTACTGTATGTGGATGACATACTACTCATGGGAAATGACATCCCAACTTTGTAGGTGGTTAAGTCCTGGCTTGGGAAGTGTTTCGCTATGAAGTACCTTGGAGAAGCTGCCTATATCCCAGGGATAGGGATTTTGAGAGACAGGAGTAAAAGAATAATTGGACTTAGTGAGAGTACCTACTTGGATAAGGTGTTGAATAGGTTCAGCATGCAGAATTCCAAGAAAGGAGAGTTACCGATCCAGAGTAATGCCATACTAAGTAAGACTCAGAGTCTGAGTACAGAGGATGAGATAGACGAGATGAGTCGAGCTCCATATGCTTCTGTTGTAGGCTCGATCATGTATGTTATGACTTGTACTCGTCCTGATATGGCCTTCGCCTTGAGCATGGTCAGCGGATATCAGGGGAACCTTAGAAAGGCTCACTGGACTGCGGTAAAGAACATTCTCAAGTATCTTCGGAGGACTAAGGATTGGGTCCTTACCCTCGGTGGGAGTGATGAATTGAGAGTAGTAGGGTATAGTGATGCTAGCTTCCAAACTGATAGGGATAATTGCCGCTCTTATTCAGGTTGGGTCTTTACCTTAAACGGAAGAGAAATTACTTGGAAAACTTCCTAGCAGGAGACAGTGGCTGATTCAACTTGCGAATCAGAGTATATAGCGGCAAGTGAGGCATGATAGGAGGCTATATGGATAAAGAACATCATTGGAGACCTTGGAGTTGTACCAGCTATAAAGGAGCCTATGGAAATTTTATGTGATAGTGAAAGTGCAGTTGCCTTAGCCAAGGAACCAAGGGACCACGGGAGATCCATTTCATCAGACTTCGTATAGAAGAAGGACTCCTCATGGCAAAGAGGGTATCATCGGATGAGAACCTAGAAGATCCTCTCACGAAGGGACTGGGTAGGGTTAAGCATCTCCAACATGAGAGGCGCATAGGGCTGAAGGATCATATTAGTTTAAGTAGTTAGATAGCTTTGAAATTTTTAAAGTGTATTTTACATTTGATAATGAATAAAATTTGTTGTTTATTTATGAGTAAAGTGTTGCTATCTTTTGTCAATCATTTACTATAATTTCATTTTGCATGTTTTGACTTCCAGAATAATTATGTAATAGTATATCATATTATTCAAATTCTCCACAGTCAGTCATATGTTGGAAGTAGATATGTATCAAGACTATCATGAGTTGGCTTGTAGATGTCTAAGTTGTTGGACATAGCAAAGAGGTGCTATAACACTCATGAGTGCTCATAAGTTCAAAGTATTGGATTCAACCCACGCTCACTTGTATCACTTCATGGAATTTATCTCGAGTGATTGTGAGATGCTAATATCATATAAGTCTTCAAACCTAGAGATGTGACTTGTTGCCTATGATTTGGTTATGCATTGATTGTACAAAAACGCATTGGTAACTCGATGTTATAAAATGTGCCTTTGTGTATAATTCAACAAGTAGTAGAACAAGCATATGAGTCGAAGTTTATCTGTTCCTTCTTGGATTAAAAGCGATATCTGGGCCCCTCTATGATTGTGTTTTGACCTATGTATCGGGCCCGGTTAGAACTAAATTGATGTGTTTGATTAAGTTCTATGTCAAACAAATCAGAACTCTGAAAACAACTGTAGGACAAAAAGTAAGACGTAGTTCCATGTATTTGTCCAACTGATATCTGGAACAGAGGATTATATGATCACTTATCTTAAATGGCGTATCATCGTAATCTCAGTTCTGAGAGACCTTGAAAGAGCTACGATTGCTAATCGGTTCCTGAAGTGATACTTGCAGTTATGGTTATTAGACTCATCCAAGTGGGTGACTGTTGGAGAAGGTGTCTATAACTATATATGGTATGTACTTGACCCTGTTTGGCATGGTCCATTTGGGTTGCATGGCATCATGCATTTGGATAGACTAAAATGAGAGAAATAACACTTAAGGTTTATTAATATATTATAATTTCTAATATATTAATAATATTATTTAATTAGTATTGATCAATAATTAATTTGTGATTAATTAAGTGATCAAAAGGAGACAAATTAAATACATGCGGTGATTGTGTAAATAATCCATACTTATATAGTGGGCTAATGCTTCATGGATTATCAAGTTGGGCTAAAACCCATACGATGCTCCATGGTGTTTATAGAACCCATGGGTCATGGAAATGAAAGGTCATGACAATTAGGGTTTACATGGTGTAACCCTAATCGTAACACACTATATAAGCTTCATGTTGCTCACCAAAATCGGTCACTATATATACAAGTGAGGGCTAGCCGTTTTCAAGAAGTGTTCAATTTCCCTCTAATTTATTCCAAGTGCATTTGGTGTTGTGTGAGACATCTGAGGCATCACACTCGAGTTGCTAGGCTCTCAAGGTTATCAAGGAATCCTAACTACTACAAGGTATGTATATCTTACTAACTTTTATGTTTGAAAGTTCCCCATGTATGTTAGATAGGTTATAAACCTTGGAAAAAACAATTTTTCATGTATCATAGATAAAACATATATTCAAGGTTTCTAGGGTTGCATGTACACCATAGGAGTGTTAGAATGCTCAAAACCCTTCAATTACATCATCTACTAATGCTTAGCCCAGAAACACGGGCGTTACAATGCCCAAAATCAATAGTTGCCCACTTGGCCCAATAGGACCCTACCATAACTCCAATGTCCCAACACGGATAAAATGGCCCACTATTCTCAGAATGCAACCAAGTCCAATAACCAAATGAGGCCTAACAGATGAAAGGCCCAAAATAGATCCAATCCCATATGTGATGCGTACGCTTAGTGTACCACCCTGGTATGCGCAGCGTACTGGGGTTTGGGGACTTACGCGCAGCGTACTAATAGATTAAGCACTTTTTCCGTTAAGTGCTTAATACACAATTCTTTTACGTCCAAAAGTCAGATCTAAGCTTATTAAGACGACCTAGGGCATAAATTTAGCAACTTTATGCCTTTTCATGCTTCATATGCTCCCAACACCCCCATTAAGACCTTTCTAAGGTTCTAAACCCATGCATGAGGTCAAAACACTCACCAAAACTCCATTTTTATGTTGAAAAAAGACCAAGGGACCGTAGATCTGTCATTTTCATCCTCTGGAGTTGCTTGAATCACAAGAGGAGGTCCAAAATCAACCAAAGCGACAAAACTAGAAAACCCTAGCTAGATCTATTGATTAAGATGGAAAGTTACAAGCTTTACACCTCCAGAAGCTCCTCAAGGTTGACTATATTCAGATTCTTGAACCCAAAAGACAATCCAAGCTTCCTTGAAAACTTCTCCTTCCTGAATGAACTCTAAAAGGGCCATAAAACCCACTCCTTAAGCTCAAAAACTGTCTCACACAATATCTCAGTTGTAGGTGGACAGAATGAGGCTAAAGAGACTAATAGGGTTTTGTTCAAGAGGCTAAAAGGTGTTTAAATAGGGGTCAAGTCCGAGATTTAAGGTTTTGGCCCTCTGTTGCATATGCCCGGTGTACCCTTACGTATGCCCCGCGTACGCAAGGCTCTTTCGCGATCCTTCTCCATAGTATGCTAAGCGTACCCTTAGGTACGTCCAACGTACGAAAAGGACCATCTTTTCCAATTAATTCATTATGAATGGTTTCAAAGATGTACCTGATTTCGAGTGTTATAGTGTGACAGCGTAAAATTTTGTGTCGAGGAGGCTAGGGTTTAGTGTTTCCAAGATGTAGAGATAGATGTACGCTTTCAGTGTAAGCTTAATAAGATTGTACATTATGATGTAATAAGTATACCTCTTAAAGTTCAAGAAATATGTAATAGGTTTAATAATACACACACACACACACACACACATATATATATATATATATATATATATATATATATATATATATATATATATATATATATATATATATATGGGTGAGATATGTTGAGAACCCATAGTTTCCCAAGAACCCGTTAACTAAAGGTGGCGAGTTAGATCAAAATTAACTCATTAAAAAGTAGATTGGCTGTCTTATACTCAACTATTGTAAGAGACATGGCTCTTATAAATATGCAAAAAGCGCTTCTAAATGCCAGATTTATATAAACAATCATAAGTGTAGATCCTCCAACTGCAGGTTTCTCCCCTTATGACACAGGTGATGCCCAAGCCAACCAGTAATTGGTTAACAATTGAATTAATTCATAAACAGTTGCTACTACAAGTATACAGGGCATAAGTGATCCTCCATAAGTAGTTGTAATGTATTTCTAGTTTACAAAACTTTCTCTCTTTCTTTTTTCTAAACCCGTTGTTGTCTTTTTGTTCCTTCCGACTCAACTTCAACCCTATCTTCCTCCATAAATTTTGTTTCGTGAGATCCAAAGCTAGCCTTTATCGAATCAATCACTGATAAAACTTGGTTACGAGCATTGACAAGTTCCATAAACTTACTTCCTGAATTCATTAAGTCATCATACCTTCCAGCTTGTTTGATCCTCCCACCTTTCAAGACCTTGAAAAAATTGAGTACAAATTGAAGATGACTTAGTGCTTTCATGTAGTTGTATGTACAAATGGAATAAAGAAAAAAAATCTCAATAATTCACCAAGACAAGATCAGCAGCCGACAAGAACTCCACTTGATGGGTGACACAAATAATTGTTTTTGAGTTGAGAAATTCCAGTAAACATTACTGCCTATAAAGTTTGAACAAAATGAACAAGGAAAACAATTAATTTTCATAATGGAAATAATGTGTTACTCACTTTAAAGAGATGGCTTCCTGTATGAGCATCAACTGCACTAAATGGATCATCAAAAAGATAGATGTCAGCATCTTGATATAAAGCACGTGCTATCTGTAATCTCTGCTTCTGACCACCACTTAGATTGATTCCCCTCTCACCTATGACTGTTTGATCACCAAAAGGCAGAACTTGAATGTCTTTCTTCAAGGCACATTCTTCAAGAACCTTATCATACCTTATTCGGTCCATATCTTTACCAAATAGGATGATCTCTTCTATCTTTCCACTCTGTATCCATGGAGACTAAGCAACAAAAGCTTTGCTACCACTAAGCTTTACACTTCCTGACAGCTTAGGCACTTCTCCCAGGATACATGAAAGTAAACTTGATTTTCCTGACCCAACTGTACCACATACAGCAACCTTGATGCCATGAGCAACTTTGATATTTATATCCTTTAGTGCGGGATCACAAGATGAAACATCCCATGAAAAACTTCCATTGGTTATCTTGATTGCAATATCACTATCACCTCGGGGGAATATCTCTGCAAGGCCTGAATCTAAGTTATCAAGACAATGGTATGAGGCAATTCGATCTAACGAGACTTTAGTTTGGGCTATCATTGATATTGTATCGGGAAGACTGTAGATTGGCTGTTGAAGTATTTTAAATGTTGTAACTGTAGACAATATCTTCCCTGATTGAAGAGGGATCCCGAAAAGCATACATGTTCTAAAAGTGACCACAACTACAAAAGTAGGCGCAACCCAGAATATGGATATGATTGTGGATGAAGTAGATAAAAAAATTTCAACCAACCTGTCTCATGACTCCTAAGATCAATAATTTTGTACAAAAACTTCATCTCTTATCCCTGAAGTTTAAGTATCCTCATATTCCTCAGAGTTTCATATCTGATTTTCATCCTCTTATCTTTAGATTTCATTATCTCGTCTTGAAACGTGTGTTGTAGTCACCCAATAGGAATATTAGACAACATGACGATATTGATGGATATTGTTGATATATGGTCCATTATCATGGCCTAGACAACTCTAGCGCGTCAGCGTCGCTTGGGGCTCCCTTGCCAGCCTTGTTGGGGACTCCCTTGCCAGCCTTGCTGGGGACTCTCCTGCTAGCCTGGCCTGGGGACTCCCTTGCCAACGTTGCTAGGGACTCTCATGTTGGCCCGACTTGGGGACTCCCTTGCTAGCCTTGCTAGGGACTCTCCTGCTGGTCCGGCCTCGCCCTGTGCCTCCCGGTGGCCTCGCCCATCTCCTTGCTAGTTAGGCCTGAATTAGGCTGGCCCAAGGCCTAACCTAATTCCCTTTAACCTAATTGTCCCCTATAAAGTGAACAATATCTCCTCATTAGGGGGGGGATCTTCCCATTTGCTCAGCCACCACCCTATACTCCGTTTAGGTGGCTCACCTGCCACCCACAGTCGTCAGCCACCATACACCACCAACACCACCAAGATGGTTCTCTCCAGCCATGGAGAACCATCTCAGATCTATCAGCTGATCTGACTTGATCATCGAAGTCCGCTCCCGGGGCACAGTCCCTAGGGCGGCTCTAATGGCCTTGTCTATTGTGACCTCACAGATCCGTCTCTGGCGTAGAAGCACATCCTCAGAGCGGGTGGTCGGAGCTGATGTCGCATCATTTGGCGCCATCCCGGACTCGAACGAGCAACTATCACCTTATTCTTGCCTAGATCTGTTCAGATCTGTTGCATTTCAACTCAGGTTTGCTCAGACCGGTTCATATTTAGCACCATTTGTTCAGTTTTGTTGGCTCTTGCCAAGATCTGTTTAGATATTATTAGCCACCCCTTTAATCTCTCGATCTGATGTGTTTTATTTTTCAGATCTCTTATCTGCTTACTGTTTTTGTCCAGATCTATGAATTTTGTTTTCATTTTTCAACTTAGATTTGTAGGTGCATTTCGTTTTAAGTCCAAATCTGAACGATTTATCATCATTTAAACATGTTTAAAGTTTGTAAAAAGCTTCACAGATCTATAGATTTGCTCTTGTTTTCATTCATTCAAACATCTTTCAAGATTACTAAAAACCCTATCAGATCCATTTTTTGTTTATATTTTGATGGATTCATCAGTAAGTTGGGTAGAAAAGAGGTTCTTATGAGTTTCTCCCCATCTTTGTTCATATTTCGAATTCTATTCAGCAAGATGAAGAAAAAACAATATTTTTACAACTCTTTACCTCTTTTGCTTGCTCATTCTCAAGAAAATCGGTTTTTCATTCCTGATTTTTTTTGTACAACTTCATTCAAGTTGTTTATTTGGTGCTTCCTCTAGAAGCATAGAGATGGAAAACAAAAGATTTTTAGATCTGTTGAGCAAGCTGAAGAGTAAAGAATGTTTAGTGAGAAAAAAACATTGTTAGATCCGTTTTTGTTTATATTTTGGGGTTTTCTCAGTAAGTTTAGAAGAAAAGAAGTGTAACATCCGGATTTTACCAGGTATCTTGTAAATCTAATATTGTCATATTGTGAGAGGGACTCGGCGAATTGGAGCTCAGACTCGCCGAGTAGAGACGCGGAATTGAACATTGGTGCGCGCCTGGACTCGGCGAGTCCAGGATATGGACTCGGCGAGTCTGCGCTGTGTAATGAAACCCTAAATCTCCGGGTTTGAGGCCTATTTAAAGGGCCTTATGGCCGTCATTTGTGCTCACCCAACCCTCAGTGAGTGACCCTTGTGTTCTTGAGCTATTTGTGAAGAGAAAGGAGCCATTCTTGATCTTGTGTGTGTTATTTAGCAAGAAGAAGGAGACCCTAGGCAAGAGGAAGCAAAGGAGGTTGCTATTTCGTGGATTTGGAGCTTAGATCATCACTCTAGAGGTATTATCTCGGACCATTTTCTGTTTAGTGAAGCATGATGCAATTTAGGGCTTGTGGTGGTCATTTATGGGATGATTTGATGCCCATTGGTTCCCTCTTTGAGTTGAGGCCATGGATCTGGATCCATAGAGGTCCAGAGAGCCTCACTCATCAAGCTTTATGAGTGACAATAGAGTCTTTGACCTTGTGTTGTAGTATTTGAGTCATAAACATCATATATGGTCATATAGAGGTTGTATGTGCATCAAGATTGTAACTTTACGTGCTAAATGAGCTTGGAGGGACTGGATCTATGGATTAATGAACTGGATCTGACCTTTAGAGCAAGATTGAGTCAGTGCATGGCATGGACTCGCCGAGTCCGAAGAACAGACTCGGCGAGTAGCATGAATGTTGCCCGACCACTCTGTGAGTGGCCTCGCCGAGTTGGGAAAGGTGGACTCAGTGAGTCAAGGGGGAGTCAGAATGGACAGGTGGACTGAGTCTAACTGGACTCGCCGAGTTGTTCTTGAGACTCGGCGAGTTGAGTCGTGGTGGCCCCACAACTCGTGCCAGGTGGAACTCGTCGAGTTGAGGGAATGCTCGACGTGTCAAGGGAGGATTCCAGGGAAATTGGTGTATACGCCCAGACTCGCCGAGTCGCCTGGGTACTCGCCGAGTCCGGTCAAAGTTGACCGTTGACCGTTGACCAGCGTTGACCTAGATTGACTTGTTATAGTGTGGTCAACCCTAGTGGGGAAAGTGTTAATTAGAGGTGTATTGTGCTATAGGGGACGACAGCTCGACAGGTCGAGTGATTAGCGATTTCAGGTTTACGATTTACCGAGACACGCGAGGTGAGTCTTCTCACTATACTTTACCTTGAGTAGGTAACCAGAGTTATGTGATAGAGTATTTGTATGCTATGTATGTTATGTGTTGTACTGCATTACTTCTATGTGTTTGATGCTGTGCATGTTTACAGAGTTAGAACCGGAAGGTTCACAGAGTTAGAACCTGAGGGTTCACAGAGTTGGGTGCACGGACCCACAGAGTTATAGCCTCGAGTGGCTAATATGTGTTATATGTAGTATTTTGGGGAACTCACTAAGCCTTGTGCTTACAGTGTTGATGTTATTGTTTCAGGTACTAGTGACGACCGCGGGAAGGCGCCGGCTTGATCCGTACACACACACATTCGGAGCTTGATATCATGATCTTGGGATTTTGTATTGTCTTGTTTGGATAATTAAAATGGTTGTTTAATGAATATCAATGGAATTATGTTTTATAAAAATTGAAAAATTTGTTTGAAAATTTTCGGTGTTACAAATTGGTATCAGAGCCTTGGTTTGAGGGATTCGGGTACACCTTCGGGGGTATTTGAACTCAAACTGAGGAATTGAAGAGATATTTCAAAATAAAACCAAAGTTTTCTAAGAGTAAAAGATTTTCCAGGAAGAAACGTGTGTACGATCAGCCAGTGCCCGAATGGTGAATTCCCAAAATACCTTTATATTATGTGATAATTATTATTAATGTGATGTATTTGCATGCTAGAGTAGGCTAGGTATTGCTAATAGGACTAGAGTGGCCTGTTTTGTGATGCCTTAGCCTAGGGAAGGGTGAGCTGCTATGAGATGCTGAGAGTAATTAGGTAGCAGCTAGGACTTTGTGTGAGACCTGTTACAGAGTGATTTAAGTATAATAGAGTACTTGGGGATTGGGATCCGAAGAGGAAGATTTGGGGTGTGTACTGAGACGGTGCGGACAGTAGTATTGGGCCCGTACTACTGAAAGCATCGGTGCGGTACACAGTCCAAATAAGAATCTTGGGATACCAAGAATCAAGGAGGGGTGGATTGTCGAATGTAAGAGTGTTCGAGTAAATTCTAATTATCGCATGTTGTATTTCAGAGGTTGATCATGGTGAGGACACGTCGCATGCCGGAGGATGCCGGAACTAGCGATGAGGAGATTCGACAGATCATTCATGAGGAGGTGGCTGCGGTCATCAGAGCTGAGTTACCAGAGATGTTCGGGTCCATTAAGACCGCGTTGATTGAGACATTTGACGAGCGCTATGCCGCTCTTTCTGAGGCTGCGGTTGCAGCGGCTACCGCAGCGATTGCTGCGGCAAGACCCCAGGGAGGTGATGCGACATTGTTTAGGGAGTTCAGCAACACCAAGCCACCAGAGTTTGATGGTACGCAGGATCCGGTGGCAGCTATGAGGTGGATATCTGATATGGAGGGATGCTTCTTCACTTGCTCGTCCCCTGAGCATTTGAAGGTTCGGTTCGCGCTGAACCAGCTTCGCTTGGGAGCGAAGGACTGGTGGAAGTTTGTGACGGCACACTTCACACCGACTGAGCTTTCGGCAGTGACCTGGGAGAGGTTCACTACCATGTTCCGAGATGAGTACGTTCCTCAGGTGGAGAGGGAACGTCTGACACAGGAGTTTCTGACCCTCAAGCAGGGTACCGAGTCAGTCACAGCTATTACGAGGATGTTTCATGAGAGGGCGATGTTCTGCCCTGAGCACGTGTCCACCGAGCAGGCACGTATGAGCCGTTACCTGAGCATTCTGAGACGGGATATTCGGGAGTTCGCTGCGAACTCCTCGTATCGGACATTTGCCGAGCTTCAGGCAAATGCTCGGAAGAGGGAGATTGAGCTTGAGACTCAGGCCAGGGAGGAGGCGGAGTCTCTGGGGAGGGATCGGCGGCCGGCACAGTCCCAGCCGGCAGCCAAGCGGGCCAAGCCCGCTGATCCCCGACCCGGGAGCCAGAAGGGCCGCACTTGTGGAAAGTGCGGCAAGGGTCACGATGGAGTCTGTCGAGCGGGGTCTTGCTACAAATGTGGCAAGGAGGGGCATA